GTCGGTTCCGACCCATAGCGACCCTGTACAGGGTTTCCGAGGGTGTAAATCTTTACGGGAGTAGAAAGCCTCATCTTTCTCCCGCGGAGCAGCTGGACCCTCTAACTTACCACACATGATATCACTCTTCAGTGACTGGTCTGAAGTATGAGAGACGAAGTCTGGCCATCCTAGCCTCCAAGGAGCACTCTAGCTGTACTTCTTCCAACACAGATTGGTTTGTTCTTTTGGCAGCCCATGGCACTTTTAATATTCTCCAATACTATAACTCAAATGCATCAATTCTTCTATGATCTTCCTTATTCATGTCCAGTTTTTCATGCATATGAAGTTATTGAAAACACCATGACTTGGGTCAGGCACACCTTAGTCCTCAAGCTGACATCTTTGTTTTTCAATACTTTAAAAAGATCTTGTGAAGCAGATTTGCCTAATGCTGCCTCCATGAGTGTTGGATGATCCAAGAAAAATGAAATTTTTGACATCAATCTTTTTTCTGTTGATAAGAATGTTGTTTATTGGTCCAGTGGTGAGGTTTTTGTTTTCTTTACGCTGAGATGTATTTCATAATGGTATACAGAGTTTTTCTTATTTCTTTTAACAACTGCATAGTATAGCATTGTAAGGAAGCACCATATCTTACTCAACTGGGATTAGAATTTGGATTATTTATAGTCTTTTGCAAATACAAAATACTTGTACTTGTATTATAAGCAGTTCTACAGTGAATATCATAAGCAAATGGTTCTTTTTCTTTCATATTTATTTATTGACTCAGGATAAAATCATGACTTTTAGTTAGAATAAAATTTACTTCGTAAAATGTCTATGCATGACATTATGCCTCATGAAATTGTGCTTGCTCTGGAATTGACCTGTCTTTATTCTGTGTAACACCAGATTTTGTATGAAATTTCTAGAACTAGACCAACTACTCAACATTCTCTGGACCAAACGTACGTGTTACAAAAGGGACAAAGTCTACCAACTTCAGAGTAAACAAAACAGCATATCATTCCATAATCAGGGCTACTTTAATCTACCTGTATCCATGGACAAAGAGTCAGAAGTGGATCCAATTTCCTGGGATCAGGTATTGTTATTAATCCTCTCATTCTATTCCTTGTTACTTTCAGACAAAGACAGTTATAGAAATTTTGAAGAATAATGTGTACTTTCTTAAATGTAAAAATATTTCCCTCCTGCCTCCCCTGAAGTCCATGTTGAATGCATGAATTATTAATTAAGCAAACAGATATTGAGTATTCTGTGCAAGTCACCATCTTGTATCCCTAGACATTCAGGATACAGTGTTCAGCAAGTTCTTGTGGAACTTATAGGGCCATTTCATGAATAGAATACTGAATGAATACTTTGAACTTGAAGTGTATTAGGGGCTGTAAGCAACAGAGACATATTTATAGAGTAGGTAGCATTGAAGGAAACCTGGTGGCAAAATGGGTTACAAGTTGGATTGCTAACTACAAAGTCAGCAATTTGAGCCCACCTGCCTCACCCAGGAGAAAAAGGAGGCTTTCTGCTCCATAAAGATTTACAGCCTTGGAAACTCTTTTAAGTGCCGTCGAGTTGGTTCCAACTCATAGCGACCCTAACCAGGGTTTCCAGGGAGTGGCTGGTGAGCTCGAACCCCAGCTTTGTGGTTCAAATCGACCTTGCAGTCCAGTGCATTAGCTACAGGGCCACACCAGAAAACTCTATACAGGGTCAATATGAATTAGAAACAACTTGATGGCACACACCCACCACCACCAGGTAGCATTGAGAAGTTTTTGAGAACAAATGATATGTATGTCTGTAGACATAGCCAACAAAAAACAAAACAAAACCCATATCCATTGAGTCAATTGTGACTCACTGACTCTGTACAGGGTTTCCGAGTACGTACTTCTTTAAGAGAAGACAGCCTTATTTTTCTCTTGAAGAGTAGATGGTGATGAGTCATCAAGACAAGGAAACCACCCTCCAAGACTGAACCTCAAGGGAACACATAAGCAGGCATGTAAGCTTGCTGGTGACCACATTGGTCTACTGGTAAGTGGAAGAGGGGGAAAGGCAGCAGTGAAGATATGGGTTGAGTTTGACCCCATTCCATAGACACCCGTTGACCTGGAGATGAGAAAGAGAAGAGGAAGGACTAGTTGTCTGAAGTGTGGTAAGACCTGGGAATACCTGAGCCCAGAAACAAGGACATAGCCACGCACTTAGAGCTGAGAGTGAAGCATCCAGCTGATAGGACATGAGAGGAGATGTACAAGAACACTGAAACTTGCAGATAGTACACACTTGACCTAACCTTGATGGTTTGATGATCAGAACTCGACTAGAAGAAGATAAAAAAAAATTTTTTTGATAAAGGAAACAAGTGTAAATTGCTGCAATTTGACTACCTTGACCTATACTTATGGATGTAGTAGCTCAAAATACCAACTGAGAGGAAAGAAGTCTTCACATCAAGTATCAATCCCATCCCCTCTGTATACAGGGTTGAAAGGGGCAGGCAACTTACACATTGGCTACCTAAAATGAGGGGCAATAAAGGCACGAAGTGACTGGCTTACAAATTTTCAAGAGGAAGTTTAGTTTCAGAGTGTGCTGGGAAAGGTAGAATCCCCACTGAATAGTTGTCATCTTTTCTAGATGTATCTGGTGAAAAGAGATGGGGTAAGATTCTTATAATTCAGTAGTGAGTAATTGTTATCATGATTAATTGCGATTGTCACAACTGTAAAGGTAGAAGTTTTGTAACAAAAAGGGGAGAGTAGTTAATCTTACAGTCCAGGATCAGAGGACCTTAGGACCATCAAGGAAGAAGATCATGAACAAAATCTGAGACCCTATCCAGAGAGGCAGTGACACCAGAGATGCAGGCAGAGATGAGGACATGGAGAGAGCACAGCTGAGGACTCTAGACTCATGGAAAGATAAAGACTGAGTGCTGGCAGCCAGGAGGCAGGCTTGCAGAATGTGCCCTTTGGTTGTTTGAATTATTATATATTCCTGAGTGTTTTTGTGTACATCCCTCCTACACACACACCAAAAAAAAACAAAACAAAAAAACAAAGAAGGAATGGAAGCAAATACTGTTGGATGATGATGCACAGAAGAGATTATAATTATTGCAATGAAACGATGAGTGTAAAACTGATGTTCTCCCATGTAAACTATCGCTCAATTCACAATAATAATAATAATAAGTAGATGGTGAGTTTAAACTGATAACCTTGCAGTTAGCAGTCCAGTTCTTATCCTACAGTGCCACCAAGTCTCCCTATATCTTAAAATTGTGTACATTCACTGCTTCTTGAAAAGGAATGGTATGGTCAAATCAGATTAGGAAATACTGGACATTAACATTATGTTGCAACATATTAAGGCCTCTGGGGATGTCTTTTGTAAATACAATCCTTTAATTTTTTTTAAATCTAGCATTTCTCAAACTTTCACCATAGAATGCTTCACTGCCCCAGTCAATTAAAATCATGAGAAATTAATGATTTATGATACATTTTATCCTTACTGAGTATGTGGCTGTGGCTGTGTGCCGTGGAGTCGGTTCTGACTCACAGCAACCCTGTACAGGGTTTCCAAGGCTGTAAATCTTTATGGGAGCAGAACACCTCATCTTTCTCTCATGGAACAGCTGGTAGTTTCGAACTGCTGACCTTGCAGTTCGCAGCCTGATTCACAACCACTGCGCTACCAGAGCTCCTTTATTGAGTATGTACTACATATCAAACTAGTCTCTTCACCTGCATTAAAAAACAAAAACAAAAACCACTGCTATCCAGCCAATTTTGACTCTTGTTTTTGTTGTTGTTAAGTGCTGTCGAGTCAGTCCCAACTCATAGAGATCCTGTATAGGGTTTCCAAAGAGCAGCTTGTGGGTTTGAACTACCAACCTTGTGGTTTGCAGTCCAGTGTTGATCTTACAGTGCCACACCAGGATGATGTTGTTGTTAAGTGCCATCTAGTCAGTTTTGACTCATAGAGACTCTGTGCAGGGTTTCTAAGGATAGCTACCCTATTTTTGGTTTCTGAGATGATAAATCCTTAGGGGAGCACATAGTATCATCTTTCTTCTGTAGAGTGCCTTGTGGTTTTGAACCATCAACCCTATGGTTAGCAACCCAATGCCAAGCACACAGCCTCATTTAATTATTAGACCAACTCTATGAGGTTTGTTGTTGATGTTAAGTATATAAAATGTCTGATAGCACACTCTGAGCTCTTGTCAACTACATTATTGTTTAGAAAATGTTGATTCAAATAAAATTATTTTTGTTATCTGTATCTTAAATTAGGACTATTCCTATAAAGCACAAAATCTATACCTTAAAAGAGAGAAATATCTTACATATTTCAAACAACACTGAATGCTGTCCACACATTATAAATATGATTGGATAGTATTACATATTTTTGTTAATTTTTAAAGATGAATTTCTGTTATTTGGCCATGTAATTATCCAGGATATGCTTTCGAGTTGATTGTTTCATATTCGTGCTTTTTTATGTTCAAATGAAGATGGTAATAATTGTTCCTCCTCTCCTTAAGTGCTCCTTCAAGGTTAGTTCTCAGGAATGGAGCAAATTTGCCTGACTCTGACCCTCTTTGCAGAAAGAATGGAGATTATTTCATAAAGATTCAAGAATACTTGTTTAAAGCACATGTTTTCTAGAAGTAGTAGTGATCATTTCTGTGTTGCCTATGCAAAACAAACTAAATAACCTCCTCCATGCTTTTTCTTCTCCGTCCTAAGATGCCACTTGCCTTGTAACTCTTGATTAGCCCCTAGAGATGAGGAACAGATATGAGAATGATTCCATATTGTTTAGAACAAGAATTCTCCATGTGTGTTCTCTGCGCTAGAAGCATCAGCATTACCTGGGAACATCTTGAAAATGAAATTCTTAGAACCCACCGCAGACCTACAGAATCAACAACTCAGGATATGGAGCCCAGCACTCTGTTTTACTGACTTTGCAAGTGATTTTGAAGCACACTAAGATTTGAAAACCACTTCTTTAGGATATAAGGAGCCCTAGTAGCACAGTGAGTTAAGTATGGGGCTGCTAACCAAAAGGTCAGTGGCTCGAATCCATTTGTTGCTCCATGGGAGAAAGAGAAAGCAGTCTGCTTCCATAAAGATTTACATCCTCAGAAACTCTGTGGAGCAGTTCTATTCTGTCCTATATGGTTGATAATTGCTGTGGGTGGGCGTTAGAATTGTTGTTCTTAAGTGCCATCAAGTCAGTTCCAACCCATAGTGAGCCTGTGTAGGGTTTCGGAGGAAGCGTTGATGAGCTTGAACCTCCAAACTCAAAGTTCAAACCGACTTTGAAATCCAGTACATTACCTCACAATGCCATACCAGGCTTTAAAATATACACTTATAAAGCTTCCATGTTTGTGGCGCTGTGGGCTAATGTGTCAGACTGCAAAGTCATTTGAACTGCAAGGTCAATGGTTCAAGCTCACCAACTGCTCCTTGGAAACCCTATATAGGGTTGCTATGGGTTGGAATAGACTCGATGGCACTGAACAACAACAACAACAACAAAGCTTCCATGTAAGTTGAGCTACATCGATTAAAACTTCCCCGTTAAGTTGAGCTACATTGAAGCAACACGTGTCCACATTTTGAAGTTTCACACCAAAGAATAGAAATTTAAAAGATAAGGATTATTGTCTGTGTAATTTAAAATTTCCTTCTAGTTTTTCTTTGTTAAAAATGTTTGTATTCCAAGTTTATAATGAATCACTTTTTAGAACACTTGAATTATTTAAGTTCAGAAGAAATGAAAAACAACCATGACCTAGGTTGTACAGGGTCCACAAGTAAAGATCAAGACAGACAATTACAATAGGATAGCTTTACCTACTCTCAAAGTAGAAAATAATTCCATTTCTTGACAATGAATTGAGTAAAGAAGTATGACTTTCTGTCCAGGCTTACCTCACCAGTCAGACATTTCTCAAGAACATTTGTTATAAAGAATTAATCATCAAAAATTTGTTACTGTCCTCCTTTTATTTTTATCCATACTTTTAAGGATGTACTCATGTTTCATCAGTAACAATTGATATAAAAGATAATACTGCCTCTGACAAATATTGCAGTAAAAAACAAAACAAAAACAAAAACAAAAACCCTTACAAGTTTATCTTGTGTTGTTTTTTTGTATCAGAAACGTCTTAGAGTTCTTACCCAATTTCTCTTTGAAAATCCTTACCTACAGGGGTGAGGTGAGCAGCCATGTCTGACCACATTTGTGGGTAAAACGAATTGAATAAGACACACACCTGACTCAAGAAGTGCCAACTTGTGCCTTTGTTGCAGGTTCAACTGATTCCTGGACTGTTGGACTGAGAGGCCACTTTAGAATTGGTTTTATGTGGCCTTTGTTCACTAAAAGCCAGGCAGTGAAAGGAAAGACTCAGATACTTGTAGAGAGAAGTGTAAAGGAGAAAATACTTAGCCTAGAGTATCTTTGGCTCTAACTTTCCAGTTTTCAGCTACTGTTCCTCATAACATGTGACTATATTTTCCATGTCTTACCATATTTGTTTCCTATTGCTGCTGTAGTGAATTGTCACTTATAAAAACAGAAATGTATTCTCTTTTACAGTTCTGGCAGCCAGAAGTCTACAATGAGCCTTGTTGTTGTTGTTGTTGTAAAGCACCGTCGAGTCGGTTCCGACCCATAGCGACCCTGTATAGGGTTTCCGAGGAGCAGCTGGTGAGCTTGAACCACCAGTCCTGCAGTTCAAATGGCTCTGCAGTCTGGCGCATTAACCCACAGCGCCACACCAGGACTCCTATGAGATGATGTTGCTGTTGTTATGTGCTGTGGAGTCGGTTCTGACTCATAGTGACCCTGCAGTTTAAAGGGCTTTGCAGTCTGGTGCATTAACCCACAGCACTAAAATCAAAATGTTGGCAGGGCTGGTTCCTTTTGGAGGCTCTAGCGGGGAGTCTGCTCCTTCCCTCTTCTGGCTTCTGGTGGCTGGTGGCTGGTGGCATTCTTGACTTGTTACTCCATTACTCCAATCTCTTCTCATGTTTCCTTGCCTTTCCTCTTCTTTAGTCCAATCTCTTTCTACTTCCTTTTAAAAACACATTGATTACATTAAAAACCCATTACATTTGGATAATCAGGCATGTTCACACTATCTCAAGAGCCTTAACTTAATCACATCTGTAATCTCCCTCTTGCCATCTAAGGAAGAAGCACTGGTACTGCAGTGATAGGTACTCTGTGGCTCAATGAAAGGTAAGTGGGTTCAAACCCACCAGCAGGAGAAAGGTGAGGTTATCTCAGAAACCCTGTTTTGTAGGGATGATATGAGTTGGCATTGACTGGATGGCAGTGGGTTTTTAGTTAATACAACATTTACTTTTTAAAAAAAACACTAACTTTCCTTTTATTACTTTTGAAAACACATGTTGCCTACATAGGATTGTTTTGTTGTTGTTATGTGCCATCGAGTCGGTTTAGGTCCCTGCTTTTGGCAAATTTTTAAGTGCTTGACTACTAACTGCAAGGTTGGCAGTTCGACTCCACTTAGAAGCTCCTCAGAAGACAGGCATAGTGATCTTCTGAAAGGTCATGGCCTTGAAACCTTCTGGACTATTTCTTCTCTGCACACATGGGGTTTTAATGAGCTAGAGTCAATTGACAGCAACCACTGCCAACAACAACACAGGTTTCATATTGGAGAGTGCTAAAGACAATGACTTCATTACCATAAGGTTCCTGACTATCACATGAAGCCTTAACTTTGAAGATACAAAGCTATCCACATTGGAAAACAACATGTATGGAGTCTTCCTTAGGCTGTTGGTCACAGCACTATTGAACACATTGTAATCCACAGTGCATCTTTTCAGAGGGGGAAAAAGTGGGCCAAAACTCATACTAAATAATACTTATCATGAAATGAGAGGCAGCCTACTCTAATCAGAGAATAAATCTTATAAATTGTATGGGAAAAAGTTTTCAGGGGAGCATTTATAATGGCTTCATGTGTCCAGTTTTTGCTATTCCATTTAGTTCTTCAGAAGCCAATTAATAATGAGTCTGGGTCATTACAGAAGTTGGTAACAAGTTATGTTTTCCTATACAGACTTGCTTCTCTGCAGGGCAACTGGTGGAGATATTTTTACCTAACAGCCAATCACCCATTTCTAAGGAGATCTTTATGCAAATGAGTCCAGCCATCATCCAGCAACTTCTCAGCTGTTCTTGCCAGCTGGCCCAGGATCAACACGTAAAGCCGCCACTCACCACTTTGGAGAGTAAGTTTTATGTTTTCAATGTGAAGTTAGATACTATCTATATGAATTCTGTCAGATCATTAAATGTCAAATATATAATATATGTAGTAGTCATAGTGAGTACAGGATACTTAACTATATGTGAAACAGTCTTAAATCTTTTATATTTATCAACACATTTACTTCTCATGATAACCACTATGAGTGGGTTCCTGTTATCCCTAACATTTTGAATGTGAGGACATTGTAACACAGAGAGTTTAAGTGACTTGCATGGGACACAGACTTAGTAAGTGATGAAGTTGGGGATTCAAACCCAGGCAAACTACCCTCAGATTCCTTGTTTTGCTTTATGCTGTACTTTCTTTTCTATTTTGTATACAACTTATATAAGTTTATATAGTCCCCTATATACGCCTCAGAGTCCTGGTGTAGTGCTGCAGGATAATGTGCTGGACTACAAGTTCAGTTTGGGCCACAAGGTCAGAGATTCAAACCTACCAATCACTCATTGGAAACCCTAAATAGGGTCACTATGTGTCAGAACCGACTCGACAGCACTTAACAACAACAATATATGCTTCAATTATGGATCAAATTAAAAGTTCATAACTGGGAAGAGACTTGGCATATGAGCAAAAATAAACACTGGAATCAGAGTTCCATACTGAGCCATACCTTCTCTTATTGTTGTTAAGCACTATCAAGTTGGTCCCAACCCACAGTGATCCTGTATAAGGTTCCAAGGAATAGCTGGTGGGTTTGAACTGCAGACCTTGTGCATATCCTACTTTGCAGTTCAAACCAACCTTGAGGCTTGAACCACAACGTAGCATAGTAGGTTGTGAGTTGGGCTACTAACTGCAAGGTCAGCATTTCAAACACACCAGTTGCTCTGTGGGAGAAAGATGACACTTTCTGCTTCCTAAAAATTTACAGACTAAGAAACCCTATGAGTCAGAACTGACTTGATGGCATATTGCTACGTCTTTTATCACTAGCAAATTCTGTGATCTTAATCTCTTTGGAGTCCTGGTATGGTGCTGTGGGTTAATGTGCTGGAATGCAAAGTCAGTTTAAACCACCAGGTCAGTAGTTCAAGCTCATCAGCTGCTCCTTGGAAACCCTATACAGGATCGCTATGGTTTGGAACCGACTCAACAGCACTTACCAATAACAACAAATCAATCTCTTTATTCCCCTGCGTCTGTCTTTTTTTTTTACCACACAGTGATATCCTAACGGGCTTCCCACCCTTTCATATGTCAAAGGACACATAGAAAGACATATTAGGGTAACCCAAAGAGGCTGCTTTGATATGGAAGTGACTAATCCAGCTAGGTACCGGCCTCCCAGGCCCAGCAGACAGTCTCAAGAAGTGAAGGGATAAATATTTCAGCTTGAGACACTGCTTAGGGAGAATGCTATTCTAAGAAAATCACAGGATATTTGCAAGTTTCAAATGGAATAATGTGTATGAAAATGTGTTTTTTAAAATTTAAATACTGTATACTCAAAAGACACATACACACACACACAATTGTGACTTAAGAGTTTCCATGAAGCCCATTGAAAGGTGACAGTTGACATATGCGATGCTTTCACTTTATCATTGATCTGAAGCTTTGTATTTTTGTTTCAGAGCTGCTTTTCTTTCTCTTTGACATAGTGTGCAATGCCTACCAGTTGCTGAATTGTTCAGAGACTCATTTCTAAGTTACAGTTGATTCTGTATCATTATGGGATCCAAAATATATCAGGTCTAAATATTTAAGAGTCAACATTCACTGAAAGAGCCACTAAAAAATTCAGCAGCTGGTGGTCAGTGATGCCTCCTGCATTGTGACACCTCTGAACTTTGGTGGACGTGTTTGTGTTGCCATCACCTGGCCCAGTGCCTGACACTTACAGGGCATCTAGAAAACAAAGTTTTTGAAATAGATCCATGTAAAAATTCTACCACCTTCCTAATTTATTTCTAGACCTTTCTAGTCTTTCTGAGAAAAACCTCAAAAAGTCACAGTTACTAAGAATCTAGAAAGACATTGCTATTTTCGATTTTAAATGTTTATTATATCACTCAAGGGAGTGGCTAGGATAGGGGTCTTTTGAAATTATAGAACCATAGGACAATGCATTAAAGAGGACTCAGGGAGCCATTGTTAAGAAAAATAATGTACAGAATGTTGTATTCTAAATAGCATATTGGGA